ACTTACTGGCCCCTACTGTTCCACATCAGCACCAGCCAACAGCATGGCCTGGAACTTTAGAGAACCATAGAATAAGAGAGGAAAGGGGTCAGAAGATAGAGTCTATTTGTTAAAGGAGAGAAGCCACCGCTAACATCTGAAATGGAGAAGAGAGAATGAGGCTTGTTCAGGGCCGGCCACTCGCATCTCACCTCGACCAAACTCCTACACACCTGAAAACATGAAGGCTGTAAAGGGTGTGCTGTCCCCTAAGGCCAGGCAGCCTGGAGCAGTGCAAGGGCCTAGGTGCCAGTGCCCTCGCAGGGTGAGGACCAGGCCCTGCAGTCTAAGTGACAGAGGGTGGCACGGCCTACAGACAGCAAGCCGGCACATGAGCTCACGATCACCATCACTATTCACAGGAATTAAATCAGGACTCGGTCCTGGGACCTGGCATGGCCCCCAATGAATGGAGGAAACAACATCATCCGCTGCCTGGTCTGAGGATTCCTTTTGTAAAGTGGCCTTTATGTGTCCTAGAAGCTCACTCCACACACCCCAAAGGAACCCTGGATGTCGTCTTGGGAGCCTGGTATCTTCTCTGAGAGCTTTGCCGGTCTTTAGCCGAAGCCACATCCAAGAGGATCTGGCATGAACATCAAAAGATGAGTCCCCCAAAAGGTGGCCATCAGACCTGGGTAGCAGTGTGGGGCTTCACATGTTCATGAGGACATGGCAGCCAAAGGCACAGTTCCCAAGCAAGGAGGATGATGAGAGAGACCTGGATCAATGTGCCCAGAATAAAGAGGTGAAATGATGGAGAAGGAGAAACATGGGTCAGAGGACCGGCAAGATGGAAGCATGGTCCACTCGGTCACTTCTGGGGAACTGGTCCTTTGGATGGCATTGACAGCCAGCAGAGAGTCATTTACTTACTGGTGGAGCTCACTGGCCAACAGGAGTCTCTTTTTTTACTTCTGTGAAGGTCAATGGTTAGAAAATTTATCTTTCCATCTTTGAGGCATTTTTTAAAACAATTTTTAATTTGGAGGAGTTGATTTCTTATCTTTTCTGATTATTGATTTTACTTTGAAATGACACCAAAGTGTCCAAACTGGAAGTCAATCTTACCAGCTTTGCTATTTCTTTCCTGTTTGCCTAAGTTCTTATTGTCATTATAACCCTTGACTTATAGTTTCTCTCTGAGAAGTTTAGTTCAGTTAAAAAAATTAGTTAATAGTTTGATATAATCCCATTTGCCAGATCTTATTTTTTGTTAACTATGCTTTTGAGTTCTGACCCCAAAATATCCTTGCCCAGAC